TTCAGCACTCCAGCATACAGTGATCATCCCAAATATGTGAGGTATCACTGCGAACGTCAGATCACAGGCACTAATTCTATTACTAGACTTCCTCTATAAATCTAGATTGGTAACCTGTAAAGGCATGTAAAGCATTGTCTATGGATAGTAAAATGTAAGCCGTTTGTCTGTGTTTCATGGACGTGTGCAATTTTAAAGCTTGACATGTTTGTTATCTATTTACTCGTCATAACATCATCTTTTATATTTTACAAACAAACTGGTTATCTATTGAGTTTTTTTTTGCATTAAAATTCAAAAAGTGTATTTTTTCCCACAAAATTGTGTTTGAAAAACTGCTGTGTGACATAATAACAAATTGCAAAACCCACCAATTTACTCTCTAGGGCTCTGATTTTAAAAATATATAATGTTGGGGATTCTAAGAAATTTTCTAGCAAAAAAGACTGCTTGCTACATGTAAAAAAAAAGTGCCAGAAATGGCTTGGTCTGGAAGTGATTATATAACCTGAAAACTTCCTTTGTTTAAGGAAGCGGGTTGTCACCATGCAACTGTGTGAGGTGGGAACCATCCGATAATGTCAGTGGGAGACAAAAAAAGTATTGGTTGTCATGTCAGGTAAGGGAAAACAGCTGCAGCTGAGAACACGGCCACAGTGTAGTCAACGCCTATCAAATGAGCCACACAGTGACCGCACTCTTGCATTAATGATGATGAATTTCTACACATTTACAGATGGTTCAATACCATACAGTGGGCTGTTGCAATGAAACTGGAGAATAACAAGTGACCAAAAAGCTAGAGTTTCTGATGATGGAGACCAATTACAATTCTTGCCAGTAGTGGCAATAGCTAAGATTTTGTGTGCGCATTATTTACATCAGACCTAAATTGTCAAATGCCTTTAACCTTTCATTTCCTAAAACTCCTTATGGGGAACAGGGAATAGCACTGTATGAATCAGATCATAAAATCGTAGCATCATACTTGTCATAAAACTACCTATAAGTCAATGTAAACTCAATACCTAAAATCCCATATCATGATAAAGTAATTTCAGTCATTTTTACTATTTTTGAATCCGTAACAGTCATTAAAATAAAACCTGTTGATCTTGTCTTGGAATTCCTTGTGCAGGGTGAAGAGTTCAACACTCTGTCCCTGTTCTTTGTTCTCCGGCATTGTCACCCTGTTACACACTCTCTCAATGAAGACTACAATGAAGTGGTCATTGCACATAGCACAGGCATCTTCCACTGTTGTCACCATCTAGTAACTCCATAGCTCCCAATTGTCCCTTATTTAAAGGGACTGTTCATTTTTAGGAACCAAATCCTTTGGTCATCTTTTCAGTTCTTCTTTTTGGTCTTATGTATAGGTCTTTATAAAAAATATTTTTATATTTAATTACCAAAAGTGTTATACTGCTCTAAACCTTTCATCCAACTTCTAAAATATTGCATTTGTTGATTTGTAAAGCCAGTATAGATGGAAAACAATGTTGAAAAAATCACTCGTAGGTTTACCACTCGCCCTCCAGAGGATTTATTGTACCCCTCTTCCTGACCAGGCCATTTTTAGCGATTGCGTTACTTTAACTGACAATTGCGCGGTCATGCAACGCTGCACCCAAATGACATTTTTTTCCCCACAAATAGAGCTTATGGTATTTGATTGCCTGTGTGCTTTTTACTTTTTAAGCTATTAAACATGTCCAGTAAAAATCAAATTTTGTCATAAATTTAGTCCAAAATGTATTTGCTAAACAAAATACCAATACATGTAAATTAATTGGTTTACATGAAAGTTATAGCGTTTACAAATGGCAGCATATATACTGGAATTTTTTTACTATGGCAGCGACCAGCGACTTATACTGCGGGACTGCGGTGGAGATTCTGGCACTGGGGGGAGCTGACTTGGTGTCACTGACATGCCCAGTTACACCACTAATAAAAAGCACTGACACTGTACTAATGGCACTGGGCATGAAGGGGTTAACATCTGGGGTGCTCAAAGGGTTAACTGTGCGCTGGTGTGCTATGTGTGCTATGTGTGTGCTTCACTGTAAGCACACTGCTTTGTATGGCTCTGCTATGCAGAGCCATACAAAGCAGAGTGCAAGAGCTGACAGGGGAGAGATCTATATTGTTTACATACAGGTCTCTCCCCCGTCCATGATACATGGAGATCAACGGGTGCCGACGAGTAATCACTGGCCGAGACCTGGTGATTGACAGCCGAGGCCGTGAATGGCGGCGCATGTAGGGCGCGCGCACACCCCCTACCTGGAAATGCAAAATCACGTATATATGTACGTGATTTTGCGCACCCCTGCTGCCCTGTAGCAGTATTTCTGCTATAGGGCGGAGGGGAAGCAGTTAAACAATCATTTTGTGTGTTCCTAAAGCATAACTCCAGAAAACTTGAAGTGCCTCCTTTACAGTAGGGATGTGTCTGCACTGCAAGGGTTAACCACTTATATAGGTCTAGGGGGCAAAGAAAAGAAGATTTATATACTCAATCCTCTGCTCCTCTGTGCTGCTAGACCAGTCCCCGCAGTGTTTTCCCCCCACACTCCATCAGTCTAAGGTCCTGATGTCATCAAGACCAATGCATGCTTCATAGCCCTGCATTGGATTTGATGAGGCTGAGGGACAGCCCACTGCCAGAGCATGGGGGAGCACTGTTTGCAGGGGAGCCTAGGATCAGGCAAGTAAAAGTGCTTTTACTCACCCCTAAAAACAAGCAATTAATCCTTGCAGTGCACGTGCAGCACAATTTCAAGGAAGAATTTTTAACCTCTTGTCACCAGCCCTACACATATATGTGGTCCCTCGGTGGGTAGGCCGTAATGCGGCTCTGTTAAAACAGTTTACCATGCTGAAAGCGCGCTTCCCTGCACACTCCCAGCATAGTAGCTGTAGGGAATTGGTAAGCTCCTGATGCATACTTGTAATCAGGAGCTTTCCGACCATGTGACCCCTGAGGTAGCCAATCACAGTGGTCATATGATCCTAATGGCTGCCTCAGTCTCCTGGCTTTTAGAACTGTTAAAGGGTCAGAAGGCAGTCGGCGTGAAGAGGGTTAATTTTCTAGGAGTTGGGCCTTAAAGTGGTTGTAAAGGCAGAAGGTTTTTTACCTTAATGCATTCTGTGCAATAATGTAAAAAACCCTTGCAGGATGAGCTCCCCCACCAGCCAGTCCTAAATGCTGCTCGAGCCCGGTCTCAATCTAGTGCTGTGTCACTGGACACTAAGGCAGCAGTGGGAGCCATTGGCTCTCGCTGCTGTCAATCAAATCCAATCAAGAGGGAGTAGGGGGGTGGGGCCGAGCTGCACTGCGTGTGTCAATGGACACACAGAGCCCGGATTGGGATTGAGCCCGCACGAATGCTCGAATGCCCATAGCAAGCAGCTATATGGAGGTACTCGAAAGGGAGGGGCAGCCAGGAGTGCTGGCAGAGATCCCAGAAGGCAAGGATAGGGGCTGCTTTGTGCAAAACTATTGCACAGAGCAGGTAAGCATGACATTTTTATCATTTTAAAAATGACATTTAAAACCACTTTAAGAGCACATACTGTACATTTTACAAACAGATGATTCTCTTTCTCATCTCAGAAAGTTGCAAGATATTGGTAACCCACCCTGAGAATGACAAACAGCAGTTGTTGGAGTGCATGCATTTTGTTAAGCGAGACATTGCTGGTGTTTAAGATACACAGCAAACTAATTTTGCAAACTAAATGTCATTCATTTTGGGTTAACATGGACTTTACCAGTTCACTTAGTCAAACCTATAATGATATAAATATGGGGGCTGACATTACTGACCTGCTTCTGAAAACCTTACTTGTCTGGCCAGAGGCGGACTGACCCTTTGGAAACTCGGGCACTGCCCGAGGGCCCAGGGTCAGTAGGGGGTCCCATGAGATGCCCCTGGTACCTTTTTTCATAGGCTTTTTTGAGTTTGGGCAAGGACACAGGGGCCCCATGATCCCCTATTGCCCGGGGGCCTGTGTCTGGCTGTTATCCGAAACCCACAAGCTTCCATGTTTTATTAGTCACTGAACTCAAACCAGAACACAGCTTGGGATTCTCTCAGAAAAGTTAAGTCTTCATCTGCATGCATGTCCGTCCCAGATGACTAACTCAACGTACTGAAACTAGAGGACCAGTTTGGCAGCCAGTCAAATAGCATTTCTGAAAGGAGAAAATAGCAACCTTAGCTTCCATATTTCTATCATGAAAGGCAGCACTGAAACTAGGAATGTTCTCTTGGTATAAGTGGCAAATTCCTTTAACCTTTTCAATACCGTGCAATTTTACACCTTGCTGCCCAGGCCATTTTTTAGGTTTCAGCGCTCTCACACTTTGAATGACAATTGCGCGGTCATACAACACACTGTACCCAAACTAAAATTTTATCATTTTCTTCACAAACTAGAGCTTTCTTTTGGTGGTATTTAATCACCGCTGGGGTTTTTATTTTTTGCTAAATTAACAAAAAAAGACCAAAAATTTTGAAAAAAAAACACATTTTTCTTTGTTTCTGTTATAAAAGTTTACAAATAAATAATTGTTCTTCATAAATTTAGGCCGAGATGTATTCTGCTACATGTCTTTGGTGAAAATAACCCAAATTAGGATGTATTTTTTAGTTTGTAGGAAAGTTATAGAGTTCACAAACTATGGTATAGATCTGAATATTGATCAATCCTGAAGTACTGACAGCCAATTTCTTGAGGTCCAAGAATGTCAGAATAGTACAGATATCTCCCAAATGACCCCTTTTTGCAGAGTAGACAGTCCGACGTACTTCATAAGAGGCATGGCGAGTTTTTTGAAGTTGTATTTTTATGTCATAATTTTTCGGAAAATTGAAAAAATTAAAAAAAATTATTTTCATATTTTTTTTTTTTTACATACTGTCACCAGTGCAGTACAGAGTCATCATATAACTGGCATGGCGGTTAACAGGGACACTGACTGGTGACAGTATGAAAAAAAAAATATATATATATATTTTTTTAATTTTTTTTATTATATTTAATTTTTTATTACATTTTTTTTTTATTTTTGTTAAGATTGTTTTTTCATATTTTACTATGACCAAAGTAGTACAATGTTACCATAGTAACACTGTACTACTTTGGGGAAGTGATCAGTATTTTTTTTTTTTTTTTACACAATTTGCTTATAGCAAAGAATTACTTTGCTATAAGCAAGCATTTACCTGAATGAAATCGATTCATTCAGCTTTTTTTTTTTTTTTTTTTTTTTTTTTGTGCTTAGCTGTGATTTGGTCACAGCTAATCACATGACATGTGCATGTGATTAGCTGTGACCATTCACAGCTAGGCACTAGTATACAATGGATGGCATCATGAATGAAGCCATCCATTGTATACAACTGTCATGTGACCTGCTGTGATTGGACACAGCAGGTCACATGGTACCAGCAACGGGAGCCGGTACTCGGATCTGTCATCGGCCGTGTCCGAGGTGCACGGCCGTGACAGATCCCGCTGCTGCGCCGCTCTGCATTACCGCAAACGGCGCATGTGCGGGAGCACGCCAAATGGCGTGCACCCGGAATGAAGAGGCACATCTGAAGCCGCCAAACGGCCATTGGCCGGGCGGCTAATGGTTAATTATTAGAAGGTATGAATAGTCCATTTTCAGCTCCCCAGTACAAAACTTTATTATCTCATTTAAAACTGATAATTTATAAATATAATTGAATGGCACTAGGCTAAACGTTTTAACTTAATATATAATAATAATATGAAGTACTAGCCTTGCAGGAGATGTTTGGTAATTTGCGTTCTCTGTTCTGCGACTTGACTCCAAGAACACCCTCAGCCCCTCTAACATAGCTGGTTCAATGAAAGTTACTGCAAGCACTTATAGGACATGAATATAGATACCATTAACTTGGCTGTGAATTAGCACCAGGAAATAGACACAAGACCATTTAATGGTAAATGAACTCAAAACACTCCAAAGACATGCTGGTAGATTAATTGGATCCTGTCTAAATTGGCCCTAGTATATGTTTGTATGAATGTACGTTAGGGACCTTAGACTGTACGCCATTTGAGGGTTAGGGACTGATGTGAATGTACAATATATATGTAAAGCACTGCGTAAATTGACAGTGTTATATAAGTACCTGAAATAAATAAAATAAATAAATAAATGTATTGGTACAGGTTAGAATATATGGTAGCGTGAGCATACATAAACACACAGAAGGTGGGATCAGACATAGTCCACTAGACAGTATAATCACTATCCCAAGGAAACTTACAATAGAGTTCTCTACAACTAGACTGGGATTGACTCATGAATCAGCAAAGTCAGCAATAGTGCACATGAGCATAACTGCAATGGGAATAATAATACTAAAACTAGTCTGGAGTGCACTCTAGGAGAATGGCTAGGATATGGTGCAATGTCTCCTGAGAGGTACATCTTAGCATACGTAATAGGTGAAGGTCTCTGTGTAGCAGCTGTAAAGGGACAGTCTTTAGGTCTAACTATTCAGCTGGCTAGCATTGGGGCCCAGTTGTACCGTGGGTGCAAGGGAGAATAATCCCAGTCAAGTCTGCAGGCAGCAATAAGGCTACTAGATGGCTGTATGGTCTTTTCCTAAAAGGCTCAGTCTCTCTAGAAGCAGTAATCTCTACAGCAGAAGCTCACCAGTCCCAGTACTATTGCAGCTCACCATCTAGTCACAGGAAGCAATGAGTCCACTCTCTGCTTAGTATCCAGGTGACTCTGGCTGTCAGCACAACTGGACGGAGCCCTCCAGATCCCGCTCAGGCCGCCAATATCCAGCAGTGATGGTGCACAGTTGACAGTGATGTGCACTCTCTAGACTCCCTCATGGCAAGAGGAAGCTGTGTCCTGTACAGCCTGAGAAAATGCAGATCTTTCCCCTCCTCCTGGCAATCTCTCTCTTGGAAATGCAGTTCAAAGCTCTTGATTACAGTAGAGTCTCTCACCTCTGGACTACAGTTCCCACAGTGTTGCCTGATTCAGTCTATTGAACTCTTCCTGCTCAATAGCTCCCTCTTCTTGCTGATATAACTGTTAACGAGTTCAGCACTGCAGGGCAACAGCTATAGAGAGCAGCTGCAGCCAGTGCTTCTCTCACTCTCCATTCTTAGCCAAACACCTGGCTACAAATATTATGGAATATATAAAGTCAGGTCCATAAATATTGGGACATCGACACAATTCTAACATTTTTGGCTCTATACACCACCACAATGGATTTGAAATGAAACGAACAAGATGTGCTTTACCTGCAGAATGTCAGCTTAAATTTGAGGGTATTTACATGCAAATCAGGTGAACGATGTAGGAATTCCAACAGTTTGCATATGTGCCTCCCACTTGTTAAGTGTCACGACTATAGTGGATAGCTCTATAGATCCACAGCTTGGGGTTCCCCAGGGCGTGGAGTCTAAGCCCCAGTCTGCTTGTTCACCAGGGCCCCTGATAGTGGGGATGGACTTGGAGCAGGCTGGGACCAGGTCGCGGCCCCCAGGTACACCCAGCTAAGGTAGAGGAGACCGCCAGCAAGAACAGAGTGCAATATGTACCGGATTGGGGGAGCCTGAAGTGGAGAGAGAGCGTTCCCTTATAACTCCTGCTTGGAGCCCCTGAAGGTAAGAGCAGGGGCACGGAGCCAGAAGGGGCCGGAATGCCGTGTGGGTCTTGCAGCCGTCAGCAGGTAACTGGGGACCCAGGATGTCCGGGCACAAACTAGGTGCGGATGAATGGGCATAGGTGCAGCGGTAAAGGGATTTAGGAGCTGACAAGATGCCGGTCAGGTGCAGGTGCAGGCAGAGCAGTATAGCAGAGTCAGGCAGGCCGGGTCAGTAACTAGCGGGCATATCAGTACACAAGAAGCAGGCAGGAGAATGGTCAGGGATAGCCGTGGGTTGGTGCAGGCAGAGCTCGTTCACAGGCGGGTAGACAGAATGCAGGTATCAGGATCAGATCAGGACTGTATGCAGGGACGTGTTTAGACCAGAAGGCAATGATTACTATTCACAGCGGGTTTAAATAGCCCGCCAGATGTGACAGGTATGCTACTGCGCATGCGCGAGCCTTCCAGGCTACTGTGCATGCGCGAGCCTTCCGCGCTACCACGCATGCGCGCTGGCACGCTCCCGCGCCTGCGCACTTGCACCGCCGTGGCTCACTGGGGTTTGTCGTCGTCGCACCGCTGCATGGCGACGGAGACCCTGACATTAAGGGACCAAAAGTAATGGGACAATTGGCTTCTCAGCTGTTCCATGGCCAGGTGTGTGTTATTCCCTCATTATCCCAATTACAATGAGCAGATAAAAGGTCCAGAGTTCATTTCAAGTGTGCTATTTTCATTTGCAATCTGTTGCTGTCAACTCTCAAGATGAGATCCAAAGAGCTGTCACTATCAGTGAAGCAAGCCATCATTAGGCTGAAAAAACAAAACAAACCCATCTGAGAGATAGCAAAAACATTAGGTGTGGCCAAAACAACTGTTTGGAACATTCTTAAAAAGAAGGAATGCACCGGTGAGCTCTGCAACACCAAAAGACCCGGAAGACCACGGAAAACAACTGTGGTGAATGACCGAAGAATTCTTTCCCTGGTGAAGAAAACACCCTTCACAACAGTTGGCCAGATCAAGAACACTCTCCAGGAGGTAGGTGTATGTGTGTCAAAGTCAACAATCAAGAGAAGACTTCACCAGAGTGAATACAGAGAGTTCACCACAAGATGTAAACCATTGGTGAGCCTCAAAAACAAGAAGGCCAGATTAGAGTTTGCCAAACGACATCTAAAAAAGCCTTCACAGTTCTGGAACAACATCCTATGGACAGATGAGACCAAGATCAACTTGTACCCGAGTGATGCGAAGAGAAGAGTATGGAGAAGGGAAGGAACTGCTCATGATCCTAAGCATACCACCTCATCAGTGAAGCATGGTGGTGGTAGTGTCATGGCGTGGGCATGTATGGCTGCCAATGGAACTGGTTCTCTTGTATTTATTGATGATGTGACTGCTGACAAAAGCAGCAGGATGAATTCTGAAGTGTTGTGGGCAATATTATCTGCTCATATTCAGCCAAATGCTTCAGAACTCATTGGGCGCCGCTTCACAGTGCAGATGGACAATGACCTAAAGCATACTGCAAAAGCAACCAAAGAGTTTTTTAAGGGAAAGAAGTGGAATGTTATGCAATGGCCAAGTCAATCACCTGACCTGAATCCGATTGAGCATGCATTTCACTTGCTGAAGACAAAACTGAAGGGAAAATGCCCCAAGAACAAGCAGGAACTGAAGACAGTTGCAGTAGAGGCCTGGCAGAGCATCACCAGGGATGAAACCCAGCGTCTGGTGATGTCTATGCATTCCAGACTTCAGGCTGTAATTGACTGCAAGGGATTTGCAACCAAGTATTAAAAAGTGAAAGTTTGATTTATGATTATTATTCTGTCCCATTACTTTTGGTCCCTTAACAAGTGGGAGGCACATATGCAAACTGTTGTAATTCCTACACCGTTCACCTGATTTGGATGTAAAGACTCTCAAATTAAATCTGACAGTCTGCAGTTAAAGCACATCTTGTTAATTTCATTTCAAATCCATTGTGGTGGTGTATAGAGCCAAACATGTTAGAATTGTGTCGATGTCCCAATATTTATGGACCTGACTGTATATTTCTTGTCTATTTGTAATATTTATTTCATTTGACAATATAACATGTCTTGTTACAAGATTTCATCATTCTTATTTTCAGCAATGTAATGGAATTTGGCAACCTGTTCTATCTGCTTATTACAACTTGGCTGAGACAGTGCCAGACAAACTCATATGGGCATATTAAGCAAGTCAACAGAAGAACAAATCAACATGTTACTTATGGTTGTAAATCAGTGACAATGGTTTTACAGGAAGTATAAATTCCACAATTTGTGACTAATCACTGCTGTGCCATTCCATTTTGTTGTTACATTTCAATGCAGGAATCTGTTTTATCATGGCTCATATAAAGGAGACCTTTAATGAGAAAAACAAGGTGGATACCATTGCTGATCTTTGCTTCTGAAAATGCATAAATATACAGAGAATTCACATCTGCATGTGATACAGG